GAAAAATCTGATTAAAATCACTTTTTAACTGTACATTGCTGACTGAGTTGCACAAGGATATCGTTCTTTTTTAGGCAGCTTTAATTAAAAATTCTCTGCGATTTTTACAAAAATTAAAAGTAATAATATGAGATAGGTGTTAAAATATTTATGCCACAGAAAATGTTTTGTCGTTACTTAGAGAATAAAATAAAAAATGACGTGAAGTCAAAAATGACAGAACAGATGTTAAGATTTATGTCATATTATCGGACAATTGATAATTTTTTGCTACTTAAATTTCTTAGGTTTTATTTTTATAGACTTTGAAAATTTTATTATGAACTCTTTGCTTGGATAATTGATGTATCTTCAAAATATATGTCATGTTTTGTGAAACAAGTTTTTGGGATAAATTATTTTATTTCAAAAATCTTGTTTGCTAACTCTTCATCTCTTCTTCTTTCGTAACAAGTGAAAACGACGAATTTATTTGGTGAGTCTAAAAGCTGTCAAGTCAAATTTATTAGGGAGAGGGAAATATCAGATGCGGTAATTTTTGTGTTATTATTTTTTTGAATAGAGTAGCGGTCTTTTAAGATAATTGTGTTTAAAAAAAAAGTTAAATTTATTAAGAGGACTAGATATTTTTATCAAATAATATATAATCGGCATTGCTTGTTGGTCATCAGAAGTGCAGCATTTGAAGAAACAAAAGTTGTTCTAAATTTTGCTGATTTTCTACACATCGCATGTCAACGTTTCAAAATAGCCAATTTTTCCAAATCAGTTCTGTATCAACAATTCCTCAAGATATGTATAGTCCCAATACTGATTATCTGTTTGTCCATAAAATGTCTTTCTGTTTTTGTTATTCTTTTTGCATAGACGTGTTGTTGATCATCGTCTTTAGCGTCTGTCAGCATCCAGGAGGCCAGAATCTGAACAAAAACAACTTAGCTGAAGTAAAACTAATTTGAATCCGGGCTTTTTACTGTCGTCGCTGTCGGTGATGGTCCTCAACTGACTAGACTTCGATCTGCTATTATGCTTTGACATCATAACATCATAATGCTGGGAAAACTATAGAGAGAGTGTGTATCTGCTGAAAAGCTGCCCTCTGAATGTCTGGATTTTTAATGGGAATACAACGTACTAATTATATAGCAGAATCAATCAAAAAATTTTTTGAAGTGATAAATCTAGAATCTTTTTAATTTACTTTCAGCTACATTTTTAAGGTACAACGTAATTAAATTGTTGAAAATAAACTGCCTGTAAGGCATCAAACGCTGGTAACTTTCTTCAATATTGTCACATAAATCCTTCCAGTAACTGATTTCGTAGCTTCTCTTTCCCCACCCCTCCTCTCCTCCATCGCTCATCCCGCTACCGTTCTGTTAGATATATCAAAACAGTTTAAATTGTCTTTACCGGTCAGTGAAATAAAACCTTTTTTTTTGTTTGTTTATGACGATAACGGCAATTTAAAAAAAAAAAAAGTTGATTTAAAACTTGGTAATGTTTAAACGTCAACTATTTGTTTAGCTGTACAACGGACAACCAAATATTTCACGTAAAAGTACTTGTTAACATAGTTTTTTTTTTTTTTGTAAATTTTGGTTTACATGGTTATTTCTTAAATTTTAGAATAAGGCTTAGACCAGAAAGTTAACAACACCAACAACAACGAAAGCAAAGACATTACTTATAAGTATCACCAAATAAACTTCAAAGTTATTAACGAATTCTTCACAGTTGATGTCAATAAGCTTCTAAGAACAATATTTGTGAAATAAATATTGATAAAATAAGTATTTTTGTGGATTTTTTTTTTTGTTTTTGTTTTTCTTTTTTTATTTGATATCGACAATAACATTAGCGAAAATAACAATCGATGATGTAATCAAAACATAATTTTAAACGTAAAGTAGTTTCTTTTCTTTTTCGAATTCTAATATGACTTTTTACGGCGTCAATTTTTTTTCCTTCTTTTTTTATTTATTTCCTTTTCTTTTTTCCTTTTTTACTAACGTTTTGTTTCTTTCTTTTTTAAGGTAGAAAGAAAAGCTAAGTGTTTTAAAATTTTCATAATTATCATTCTTTGTCGATTAGTCATTTTGGAAAGAAAAAAGTCCTGTTTTCTGTTGATTGGACTTTCCGCTAATTTCATTTCTGCAGCTGTTCTTTTTCAGCGAAACAAATACCGTTGTCGTGACAGCAATACTTACAAACAAAGTACCAACAACTGCAGCAAAAAAGAAATTAGTTTCTAACTGATTTGCATTGATCACTTAATTCCTCAATGGTCAATGGAAATTTGAGTGGAGAAAGAATTCATTCACTAGTAGAAAAGAAAAAAAAACTTAGATAAAATGAAACAAGACAAAATAAAAATGAAATAAAATAAAATGAATTATGTAAAATAAATTGAACAGCAACTGAGTAGAATGAAACGTTCAAATTTCATAAGGTTCTACCGACCAATTCAGTCGGCTATTCAATATTCATCTATCAAAAATAAACTTAAATATCTCTGTTTTAAGCTCAATTTGATAACTTAAGTTTGCTTTTTTCTAAATCAATAATTTTTTGATTTTTTTTTCAAATTTCTAATCTTGTTAACCTTACTGTAAGTAAAAATTCAAAAAACGCCAACTTTCTTTGTTGGTCACTTCTGCATATTTTCGATCTATAATTGGTATTTTTAAGCTTCTTCAGAAGTGTAAGCTTTAGAAGGAGTTCTCAATTTGTTAACCTTTTCAGAAGAAACTAAAGTCTTTCGTCAGCTCAAATTTGTTTTACTGTTCAATTATTTTTAGTTTTTTTGAGTTTTATCGCAAAAACTCTGCAGGTGTTATAAAAAGCTTTTCAGCTCTTTACCATTTATTGCTAAATAGACCTTCAGTGGTCTTGATAAATAATGTCAATTGGCCGTTTCCAGAAGCACTGTGCCAGACCACCAGAACATCATCGAAACTTCCGGTTGCTAAAGGTGTCTTTGACAGTACCCACTTTTATTTAACCGCCCATTAAATTTGTTTGCTGTTTCTGACAACTTTTACTGCCTAAAAAATTTCTTGTCATGATTAATTGTAGCTATTCTTGTCTTGTTAGAAGAAACAAAAAAGACTTGTATAAATTAATTCTTATTGTATTAAATGTTAACTATAGTTATAAAAAATGATTAACTAAGTGAACAGTACTGAAGATTATTGACAAAAACTGTTATTGAATAAAACAAATTAAAATCGCAACAGATTACGGAAAAGTTCACGATAAAAAAACAACCAAAGCCTATTTAATAAAATCTCTTGAATGATTACGACAATTTTAGCAACAATAAAAAAGAAGTTTACTTTCTGAAAAACGATGAGTAACTGCTAAAAATTTGTAAAAATTAACTGCAAAGACAGTTGTTAATTATTTCAGAAGATGTTCTACCGGTAAACAGTATCAGATTTTAAGCGCAAACTTGTAAAGCTCATGAATCAAGTTGAAATTGATTTTATTTATCAAAATAACCATACGCAGTTCTCACATTTAGTAATAAAACAAAAAGATTTTTTATGTCGTTATTGGGTTAAAAAGTTTTTTGTTATTATTTTACGATCACAGTATTTATTTATTTATTTATTTATCTTTTCTTTTTAAAAATTTACCACATTCTATAAAAGCCCCACTTTACCAACGTTCTCGGGTTTACTAAATTATCTGTGTAATTGGTGGTGCATTTTTAAATAGCACTGAAATCTTTTAATTTCATTAAATAAGAAACAGTTATTTCTCTCTAAAGTTGCAAGCGAGAGAAAAAAAAGAAGAAAAAAGGAATAACATTCTAAATATTGACGGTAATTGTCGTCTTGCTTAAAGTAGATGACTAATCAGGAGAAAATTTTTAGCATTTGTGAGACAAAAGTTTACGTCGTTTATTTACCCTAACAACTGTTTCAGTGTCCGAGTGCTATCAGAGTATCGAGCTGCCTTTGGCTTTATCAACAGATTAAAATTCCGCTAGAAAACATAACAGAATTCGTTTTTAAACCTAACAAATATTTTCTACGGTATCGATACATGCAATTATCAGTTGTTTGCTAATGATATTTGCTCTGGTAATATAGATATCATACAAACGAGGCTCAGACGATAACTGAGTAAATTTTTTGTAAATAACAATAAAAGACGCTCAGATTTAAGAGGAATGTTCAGATTGGAATAAACAGCAAAAATTTGTAGGATTACTTCTCCTGGCACTGCACTTCGTTGACCTTTTTTCGACTCACCAATACTGCTCTACGTCTGCGGCATCAGTGCAGGAGACATAGTTGACGAATCGGCGTCATCGATAACAATTCTGTGGCAGTTGAAAAGATTTACAATAAAAGTTCTAATAATTAGGATACATTTATATATTTAAGTTCAATACGTCAATTTTCCTTCACTACCATAGATCCGCTTGTGTGTATCCAAAATTTTAAATACACCAACTTTTTTTTTTGGTCCTATGCAAAAATATGTGGTTATATAACTCGCACATGGCCCTAGAACTGTTTTTAAACTGCTTCTTTGTCTAATTCTGAAACGTGT